GTGATCTACATCTCATCGCAAATGGCCACTCCGACCTGACGACCTTCCCTAGTTAGTACGAGGGCCAGATACGGGGATGCCCTATTGAAGTGCTACTCTTCGTTGATGACCGTTGACATAGGCCTATGAGCATTTCACTGCCTAGGGCAGGGTGAAATGCAGGGTGAAATCGTTTAGAGCCTGTCCATCCGTCTGCCGAATGATTTTTGTCACAACCCGAACGCTGCGACTCTGGCGGGGAAGTAAGTGATAGATAGCTGTGATCAATGGTGTTGAATCCTTTGACTGAGGAACTCAACAAACTCCCCTTTCCTTTGAGGTATAGTACTCCTTTTCAGCAGCGCTTCGGAGGGAAACTTGCACGGAAAAAAGTGAGCTCATCTATTTGTCTATCAGATGAACGGTATGTTCACTAGCATTGGGGCAACAGGCGGTAGCAGAAATTTGTAGGCAGTCTAGAGATCTAGAAAGAACTAATTCCGCGATCATCGGATTGGTGGAGGCTCACAATAGTTGCGTCTGCCTCATTGTCTCGTCCGTCCGCTCTACATGGAACATGAGCGCACCAAGGCACAATACTGAGGTCTCCGCCCATTCGACTATTGTGGAAATGTGTCTCTGAAAAAAGTTTCGAATGTACCACTCAAGTTCATTCGAGTTTAGGAGTGAGATAAGGAGGAAAGGAGATTTTGATGAAAGGCGCATTCCACGCTGATCGTTTTTCGGGGCCTAGCGCCTTTCTTAATGGCCCGCTTCTCCTGAGAAGGCAGAGTATAGGGACGCGGATCACAGTCCATCTGATCCTTATTTCGACTTCCGCTCATTTTGAGAAGATCGCTGGTGAATGATGAGTTTAAGTTATCCGGAAATCATCACTGAATTGAAGGCACATCTCACAATCAGGTTACTTTTTTTGGGGGAGGGGGATGATCATCAGGGAATGTCTTCCATTCCGAGTGTAGTTGTTTTAGTATCCTTGGAGTGACTTACCAATGGCTCCGCAAGTCCGCGTTCATACTTCGCGGTACGTGTGATTTCCAGATCGCGCGACTGCGGCAGACCTCGCTTCACCAGTAGCTAATCGATGGACAGCTGCAACGGTCAAGAGAAGTTATGTCGTGGGTATGATAAAATTGGCGTACCGTCACGTCGCTCCAAAAATTTACACAGGAACAATCGTTTGCAGTCGCGGATTTGGGATTCTCCCGAGTGGCGAAGTGTGAAGGCGGCCTGGTCCTAAGTGCGCTATAACCAGCGAAGTCTTATTCTGAAACTATTTGACCGTGATGACGATCCTCGCAGGTTGCTCGTGTGTCTTCGTGTGTGGGAGCAGCTGTTAAGCGGAGGGTTGTACCCTTACCCTTGGGCTTCTTACCTTACGTCCTATCTCGCCTTCCTGTTGGTTTAAATTCAAATTGAAATAAGTTCCACTCATTTCCAAAAGCATAATATTGATCACACTTGGGTTTGTAGGTGCTTCAGCGCTATGGGATTTGTTTCTGCATGTCCTATCTCTTGAAATACGTTTCTGTAAGACTGCGTCAGCATTTCAAGCGTACGCAATGGAGCGTACGCTGGGATTGTTCACACTCTGCGGTCCAGCGTTTCTCTGAAACGCGGCGGTTTCGGCGAAAAGCTTTCGATACATATCGACTGGCGGTTGGGCGAAGAGCCTGGCGGTTGGGCGAAAGGGTTTTGATACGAATCGACGGGCGTTTCGCCAAACCGCGACGTTTTTCGCCTTTGACGAGCGCTAGCTCGATCGCCGTGGCGTTTTTCGCCAGCGAAATCGATACACATCTACTGCTTTTCGCCCAACCGCCGAACCGCGGCGGTTCGGCGAAACTAGCGGTTGGCGATTCTCCGATCGATGACTATTTTTTGCTTTTTCTCCCAACCGCCGTTTCGTCAGGGTCGCAGACGGTGAACAATGCCTCGAAACGCTGGCACAAAGTATGAATGCACGTTAGTGATTTCTGCAACGATATTTCAACTAACAATCGAAAGTCAAAGTCACGATCACATTCTTGGCGCTGTCACGTTGCCCCAATGAAAATTACTATCTTGATCGTTACTTCGATGTCGTTCATTGGCCGTGTGTCGGTATAAAAATTGCTTTTTCTCGCCTGACTTCAGAGGCAAAATGTGGATGATGAACGCCTCGATGGTGGGGCTGATGGCAGCTCTACCAGTCCAGCTGGCAATCGACCGGTAACTTTTGCAACTCATTATTTCAGAACGAGTAGAATAGTGGGATGGTGGAGGGCGCAAATCTCAACTAAAACCACAACCAATATTCTGCTCGAATCGATTCTGTTAGGTCGTGCTTGTGGACTGAGGTTTGCGTGCTGAATAGCAGTAACCGCTGCAAACGCGCTACTAGTTGCCCAAGATGGCTAATTCCCCTATTCTTCTGTCGTTTCGTGTCTTTTTGTAGAATACTGTTCAACCTGTGTGTCTTGTCAACGGTTGTTTGGTGGTTTTCTTTCTGTCGTTAGGTAGTACAGTAGTGAAATATATGGTTTCTTAACATTCTTTGCGTCTATTTTTCATGCCGTATCTTTTCAGCTTCTAAGCCCCGTTGATGGAGAAGATGGACCGCAAGCAATTCCGCTACGTCACGTCACCTCTCAAGTGGTCGATCGTCATAAGATTGGGCAGATTTTCGGTAAGTGCTTCTACTACTTTATATTTGTACAGTCTTGTATACGGCAGACTATGGGACATGTCAATAGGGCTGGCTCTGGCGCGCCATCAGCCGTTTTGCGCCAGTTGTAGATGCTGGTAAGCGACATTATTTGGGAAAACGACTGGTACGTAAGGTATGATAACGACTGGTACAAATATCCTGTAGATTGCCGATAGGAAAAAAAGGAACCGATTGGCGCCCGCCAACTCCATCCCTCGTGACCTTTTTCATCATCCGAGACAAGACTGTAGAAGCACGGCGGGCGAAGGTAGCGCAAAGCGTTGCAGGCTCCGCTCTGTTACGGAAAATCGGGCAAGCCTGGTCATGCAAGCATTCTGAGGTCCGTTACTTGAGGGTCTACGTACCATCGCGCCGTCAAGCGTGGTGCCCGCACGATTGTTTTGCTTTGTACCTGGACCAGCTGCTTCCTCTAACCTGCCAAGAACCCACTTATATCGTGTTCTTTAAGCATTGCCTTTCCTCGGGCGTGAGTCTGCAGGCTGTATGTACTCTATGTACTCTCCATACTGTTTTATCTGCTCGTCAGATGCGAGTAAAGGGATAATGCAAACATATGTAAATGCTGAAATGTAGTTGAAAACGTCTTGGGGAATTACAGTACGTGTTAAAACATTGACACGATGCAAGATTCCTTTTGGGACAGGGTAGTCCACGAGCTGGCCAGTTATGATCCACCATCTGACACTATTATTTGGGTGGTAGGGGCATTTTGTTATTTCGTTAGTTTCTTCAGTGTCCTCACCGTGGGTATATGCTCTTAGGGCTGCGAAATGGAGCAACTAGCGCTGAGCCGATTTCAAGGAACCTGCGAACTTTTGACAGGCCATTTCCTCCTATTTTCGAAAAAAGCGTTGCAGTGTCAGGAGGCTTTAACACCAGAGCTATGCCAAGAGGGTTACAGACTACGGTTGAAGCTGTTCCGCAAGGTGCACACGGAACTTGGAAGCAATCTAAAAAAACAGCTATATTTTTTACTGCAGTATCTATTAACGGGACTCGATCTAGACCTCATGTTGTCAGAAGTTGCATCGCCTTTAATTAACTACAGCCCATGAAGCTGTCAGTTTCTACATCACTGTAAAATTAAATTTTTTAGCTCGGAAGTGGTCAGTCAGTTCATCTTTGAGATCTTCCTCATAAGTACTAGGTGAAGAAATACCCTTCTGGCGAGCTTACGAGCTACCTTAAAATCCTAGTATGCCTGCTCGGTTCGGCAATGTGGCTGCTTATTGAATCGGCGAATATGTTCAAAAGCGCCTTTTATTGCGCTCGCAGCATTGGCGACGTATTGTCGCCTCAGGGACCCGCGTGTTACAAAATTTTGTACACATTTTCTTTTACAGGACCTGGGCAGCAACTATTTACGGCGGGCCTTCAAAATTGAGTATGCGTTTGCAATCATTGCGCTTTATCCTGTATCATTGGAAGACCGGCCGTACTACGCTACATTTGCACTAGCCTTTCGATGATGGTCATGTATTTGACGGATTCTTTGTCAAGATTTTATGGACTTGGAGCAATCAGGGACAGAGCAATGAGCACGTGTGGAAACTTTTTGCGAAATACGACCCCCCCCCCCTCCTCCATCACCCCGTGTGCATAAAACACAGCTGATGGTGTACACTCATCTGTTGTAGGTATGGGGCGAGTCATTAGGGCTGAATGTATCTCTAGAAGCACCCCAGCTAAGCTACCCTTCTTCACTTAGTCAATGAACTCGAAAAATTATTCAACATTGTATTTTTAGGTGTGGGCACTGTTATATCACTCGATTTTCGGCTTAATTTTGCTGGTACTGACGTGCACGTTGTGGATGTTCAAGGATTCGCGTGGAGCCTCATTCTCAATGGCCCCAGCGATCACGATATATGTTGAGGTCTGTGTAGCATTCTATCTCGAGTTTGCTGTGGGGAGTGATGAGCGCTGTGTTTTTCTTCGTTTTTTTTTCCAGATGGCATAGTTTTGTCAATATAATTGGATTCTTGCAAACTGTTCGTTCAAGACATGCCAGCAGTAGAGCAGCAGGCACGCCCATCGCTATTATGTATAAATTCCTGCTAAAATACGACAAGTTCTCCCCCTCCGCCCACATTATGTAGGTGTTGCTGTACTGCCGTGCGTCTGTTGAAAGAAGAGAGTCAAACGTACCAAAAAAAATTTTTCCTCAGACCAATGTACGACCCCTCCCCCGCTTGTGACTTATCACAACAATGGTCTATGCACTGCGGTAGGGGGAGGGGCATGCTTTAGTCAGAGAAGCGGGGCCTGGCTTTGCCAACAGAAAAATCTCACTCCTTCTCACAATCTCCCATTCTTTAATAGAACCGTCCATTAACGAACCCTCACCGACATTCCTTCCGCAGCGCATAATCTGTACTTGGAACTTGAATTATTCTCCTAGGGTAGTTTGACTTCCTGAATCTGCAATATCTTATCCCACGCTCGTCGAGACTGCGGTGCCTTGCCCACTCTCAGGCGCCTGAGGCGCCAAAACACTCCAGCTAACATGCATTCTGCTAAAAACATTGTTCCGTCTTGCGGAATTATTTATCCCCTAAACCACGACATATCAGTATGCACGGGCTGCTGCCAGAAATTTGAGCAAAGGAGAAAAGGATGGTCGTGGAATGGTGACCTTGGTCTACCATCGTCTGCCACAATTTCCTTCGAGATTTGTTCGAGGAGAAAGAAAAGAGTTCCATAGCAAGTGAGTTATTCCAGCGAGACCGCGGGCGTGGAAGGACCGCGAATGATCTGGAAGAAGCGATGAGGTTGGTGGGGAAAATAGGGACGGTCCGGATGTGGACAACCCTGTGCCCTTTTACGCAGCGGACAGTTATACGATAAGGGATTGAGGCGCAAAGTTGCCTCAGTGGTGCATCCCTTTTTCCGGTGACTGGCGCCTCCACATTCTACCTGCCCATCCAAAGTGCTCCAGCCAAACGAATGGATGCTCCGAGCAAGTAACATGGAGAGTGATCATTACCATGTTTCATTGTAGAGTCATAAGGTTCACTATGGGAAATAGCCATCCGAGAGTCGTCTTAGCGCGCGGTCTTTTCTGTCTTTTACCTCAACAGTTCTTTTTGAGGTTAGAGGAGGCCTGACGAATGCGTTTCCAACGTTCCCTTTGACATTTTCTCTTCATAGATGGTTCCACTTGGCGAATTTTCTTCCACATTTCTGCAAAATCACCTAGGCTTTTTATCGCGGACATTGTGGCTTTAAGGATAGTGCAGAAGTAGTGGCAGATCCTTAGTCTGTAACAAGAGAATGAACTATGTTCTGATCATTGGATAGAAATAGAAGATCACTTCTCTCCTTCCACCTCGTGCATGTTCCGCATAAGTCTCCATCAATTAATTTACAGCCCAGAATCCACTAGTTTTACAACATTTTTTTATCACTGTGTGTCCTGACAACGTGTTATAGCCGCCAGAGATTCTAGAATTAAAATTAGTCCGCGATCAGGTTTAGAAACTGAAAATATGGCATCGAGAGGGTATTGTGGTCCGCCACGAACAACCGTGCTGGTTTAGTGGCAAAAAATCTTAGGAGAGGGGCGCTATACGCAATATAGGTTCAGTGGCCGCCTCCTTCTTAAGTGGCTCCGCCTGACCCAGACTCGCCTTCCAAGCCCACTTTCGGTGAAAAACGATAGCTCGCAGGAGAACCAAGCCCACGAAAATCGTCACGTGTGCTACGAATCGTAGGATTCTTAGCGGGGGAATACAGCTGTTGTCGGAAATGGGGCTGGGTGTTGAAGACACAGCTAATTGGGCCAGCGTACAAACTGGGATCGCAAATGGGCCTATTGTGCATTGCGCTATTTTTTTATGCATTTTTTTCATTATTACCGCCAGTTACTCCACACGAACCTTGTTGTGTGCAAACCCCTAATCCACCATCTGTAATGGCGAATGATCATAAACCTTGCCTTTAAATATTATGTGACGCGCTGCCTACTCCCACCAAGTCGGTTTTTTTAGTTTCTTCTACTCGCTCAGTATGCATGCAGTATGAACCTGACACAGCAGGAGCTTGTTATGGCCCAGACTGGATAAACACTGGTTTGTTTGTGATTGCTATGGAAACATCGTGGGCCCATGATTGTTAACTCACCAGTAAGTTAGTTGAACAGTTGAGAGCTCATCGTCCCATTTTAGCATCAGGTATGCCCACGATTTTCTTTGCCGCGTATTTAATTGGACAACATTGAAATACTCTGATTATTCGAATATCTTTCATCATGATTCCTCCGATGTAATATTTGTCGCTAGCCAAACTACCACTTCCAATTTCCCGTACCTCCTTTCCCTGCGGGGTAAAAGGTATAGCTCGCCGTGAAGCGTGCCCTGCGATAGAATTGAACAGTCGGGACTTTGCTCTTCATAAAACCCCTTTTTCTGACGGGAACTAGGATCCCTAGTTTCGAGGGCTTCTCGCAAAGGTGATTGCGCTGTTTGAAGAAACTCGTGTCGATCTTATTGACCCCTAGATCCTGCTCACGAACAAAATGGCGCCCAGGACTGCAGTTCAAGTCTCGGACTTGAATTGCCTCCTAGGCGATTCTGAATACGTTTTTTCTACCTATAAAGACTTGTTCTTCACATAAATTACAACCGATGATCGTGTTGAATGCTTATGAATTGCTGCACGAGGACACGCTAGTTTAACGAGTCATCAGCCGATTTCCGGCACGGGCACGGTGACTGAGTCAATGACGCCCTTTTGAACACAACACATTTCGCGGCAGCACAGCTGCTTGAATTCTGAATCAAATACTTGTCCGACCTCTTTTCCGATTATTCTTCAGATGGTTCTGACTTTCCCAAGTACTTTGTTTTTTAGGACGTTGGGAAGTAAAAGCTGGGTTTGCTCTCTACTTCACATATTATTATCCAAAGTATGAGGGAGCATGGGGGTTGACTTAGAGACAATCTCAAGCAATTCATGGGCGTCCTTCCTGATTCAAACAGTCTGGTCCGCTGTTTCTAGTGTTCCTATTTTCACGGCTTCACAGTACATATGTAAAAAGGCGCTGTGGCTCTCACAATCAGCAGTTCTGACGCCTCCTAGTTGTCCCGCCCAAAACTGATCGGCTATCTGTCGTCACTAGTTCAGTTTTTACAGTTTTTTTTTCCTGTACTGGATGGTATGAGCATTGGATGATGCGAAGAAGCGATTAGTTAGCCAGAAAGCGGCAGATATTTCTGCTGGCGTCAAAACGACGTAGGTCCGTAGAATTCATGCGCAGCGAGGCTACCATAGCAGGTCCTTGACGTACGGGTTCTCAGTGAATTTTTGGCTCTTTTTCTTCACTTGGCAGAGTTCCGTCGTTTCACTTAGCAGACCGAGCCTTGGTGATTGTACGCTACATATCCAGTAGGGCTGAATGCGGGCAGTTTTTTTTTAAGGCAGTGAGCCACCCACGAAATTGTGGTGGCGAGACCGGTTACTGAACATGATTCATTGGGTGCACTTGACTTGTGAGTTTGCAGAGTGTCAGCAACCCCAAGCATTCAGCCATCGTGCCCACTGTCTTTGAAGAAGATGGACCTGGGCTGCATTTTCAATATTCGCAGTTAATAGTCGGAGTAGCATTTAGTTGGTGATCGAACTCCAAAGGCATTTGATGTACCGATCTGACACCGATCTCATGCATGAAGGTGAATGTCCCAGAAATGTTGACCTGAGCTTCAGCTCGTTTGTGCAACCCAGATACAGCTGATATCGTCGCAGTCAGTCGAGCGGAGTCAGGGGCGTGAAATGGACTTACCTGCGGCGTTCTCTTTCTCTGGCTGTTTTCTCCCTGAATCCATCACTAGCTGGTAACTACTGGTAGATAACGCTTCCGGGAGCAGGCTCGTCCCAAACCTGACCGTCCTCACTGATTCGGACGATATCAACTATACAGACCAGATATTGCATTTGAAATACAATTGAAGGGATTTCTCGCTTTAGACAGGAGAATAGGCAAGAAGTCTGAAATGGATCCCGCATTGCAGATTGGGTTCCTGGGTTTTGCACTTTTGCGCTCTTCTCAACCTTAGCCGTTTACGTGGGCGTCCGCACGACCTTGCAGTGCGATGTATTTGGCATTCAGGATTAAAAAGCGTGCATGATTAGTTCGTGCTATGCGATAGCATGTAACACCTCCATTGTATCTTCAGTTGGACTCGGTATGTCATGACGTTGGTTCACTTTTTAAGGATTATAGATTTTTGTTATAAAGGTCATGACCGTGGAACATACCTGCACAAGGTCAACAGTTTCCATTGTTGTGGTGCGGGTAAGACCGCTCTCGCATGTACTTTGCGCCACTAGGGAATCGAAGAGTAAGCGAAAAAGGTTGAGTACGCGTCGATTAATTTTGTTGCTCCCTTTTTCTCGTTTTTTCTCAATTCTTCAACTTTTCTACTCTTCTGTGGCATAAAGTTTTGATGTTTTTTGAGAAAATGCTAAACTAACGCTCTTATAGTAGTTTCTCGTAGTAGTTAGTAGAGCTTTTATAGTTCTCGTCGTGTCAATGACCTTAGGAAGTTGGAATTGACTGCCTGCAGTCATAAGAGTAAGCATTTTCAGCTTCCGCATTACGTATTGTCTATTTTTCACAGACTAAACGTGGCGTAGAGGCCCTTTTCATACACTCTAGTTCGCTGCGGACGGTTGGGCGTGTCGGGCAATATGGGTGTTCTCTGCCTTCTTGTTGAAGCGCGCATGCGAAAAAGTGGTAGAAAACGAGTAATACGAACGATATGATACAGTCATATCATTTGCTCGCTTTCAACAACTGGTGGAGAACGGGTTTGGCACCGCGCCAAACTCATCCCGCTGATAGCCCAACCGTCCGCAGAAGCAATTTATCTTGTGTT